GTGATGGTAATGGTGATGATGGTGGTGATGGTGATGGGGATGGTGATGGGGATGGCGATGGTTATGGTGATGGTGATGGTGATGGTGATGGTGATGGTGATGGTGATGGTGATGGTGATGGTTATGGTGATGGTGATGTTGGTGATGGTGATGGTGATAGTGATGGTGATGGTGATGGTGGTGGTGGTAGTGGTGGTGATGGTGATGGGGATGATGGGGATGGCAATGGCGATGGTTATGATGATGGTGATGATCGTGGTGGTGGTGATGATGATGATGATAATGATGGTGGTGGTGGTGGTGATGATGTTGGTGATAGTGATGGTGATGGTGATGATGATGGTGATGATGGTGATGGTGATGGTGATGATGGTGATGGTGATGACGATGGTGGTGGTGGTGATGATGATGATGGTCATGATGGTCATGATGGTGATGATGATGATGATGATGGTGATGGTGATGGTGATGGTGATGGTGATGGTGATGGTGATGATGATAATGATGGTGATGGTGATGATGGTGGTGATGGTTATGGGGATGGTGATGGGGATGGCGATGGTGATGGTTATGGTGATGGTGATGGTGATGGTGATGGTGATGGTGATGGTGATGGTGATGGTGATGGTGATGTTGATGATGGTGATGGTGATGGTGATGGTGATGATGATGGTGATGGTGATGGTGATGGTGAAGGTGATGTTGATGATGGTGATGGTGATGGTGATGGTGATGGTGATTATGATGGTGATGATCGTGGTGGTGATGATGATGATGATGGTGGTGGTGGTGGTGGTGATGATGGTGATGGTGATGATGTTGATGGTGATGATGGTGATGATGATAATGATGGTGGTGGTGGTGATGATGATGATAGTGGTGATGATGATGATGGTGGTGGTGGTGGTGGTGGTGATGATGATGATGATAGTGGTGTGGTTGTGATGATGATGATGATGGTTGTGGTGATGATGATGATGGTGGTGGTGATGATGATGATGATGATGGTGATGGTGATGGTGATGGTGATGATGATGGTGATGTTGGTGATGATGGTGATGATGATGATGATGGTGGTGATCATGATGCTTATGATGATGATGATGATGATGATGATGATGATGATGATGTAGGTATACGTGTTTATGAGATGTATGTGTACGTATTCATAAGCATTATAGTGTTAAATCATTAAACGAGAAAATGGATCCCATATGTGCACACGACTTTATAAATAATATTAATAACTATAAATTTGTGAAAATATAGATAATCATGTATAATAGAAGTGTGAAAAAAAACGGAGCGAAAAAAACGAAGTTTGGTACCCGAAAAATCGAAAATAAGAAAAATTTGTAGCTAATCCGTAGCTATTTTGCTACAGATTAGCTACTGAATTCTAACGGAAAGCAAATTCCGTAGCTAATCCGTAGCTAAATCGCTACGGATTAGCTACGGAATATGCTTTCCGTTAGAATTCCGTAGCTAATCCGTAGCAAAGTAGCTACGGATTAGCTACTGATTTTTCTTATTTTCAATTTTTCGGGCACCAAACTTCGTTTTTTTCGCTCCTTTTTTTTCACACCTCTATTATACATGATTATCTATATTTTCATCAATTTATAGCTATTAATATCATTTATAAAGTCGTGTGCACATACGGGATCCATTTGCTCGTTTAATGATTTAACACTATAATGCTTATGAATACGTACACATACATCTCATAAACACGTATACATGTACACATATACCACAACTCATTCATGTATATAAATATACATATACAAACATAATCCATCACAAGTTCGTGAAAACTATAGCCATTACAATGTTAAACTGTGAAACGAGTACTGGATCCCGAAGGGGCACACAACTTTATGAACGATATTAATAGATACAAGTTGATGAAAGTATAGATAATCATGTGTAGTAGAGGTGTGAAAAAAACGAAACAAAAAAAACGACGTTTGGTGCCCAAAAAATCAAAAATAAGAAACATCCGTAGCTAATCCGTAGCTAATTAGCTACGGATTAGCTACGGAATTTTCTTATTTTTGATTTTTCGGGCATCAAACTTAGTTTTTTTTCGCTCCATTGTTCACACCTCTATTGTACATGATTATCTATATTTTTTCACCAACTTATAGCTATTAATAGCATTCATAAAATTGTGTGCACATACGGGATCCATTACTCGTATAGTGGTTTAACACTATAATGCTTATGAATACGTTCACATACATCTCACAAACACGTATACATACACATATACACGTACACATATACCACAACTCATTCATGTGTATAAATATACATATACGAACATAATCCATCACAAGTTGGTGAAAAGTACAATGTTAAACTGTGAAACGAGTACCTGATCCCGAAGGGGTACACAACCTTATGAATGATATTAATAGCTACAAGTTGATGAAAATATATATAATTATATATAGTAGAGGTGTGAAAATAACGAAGCGAAAAAAAAACGACGTTTGGTGCTCGTAAAATCGAAAATAAGATAAATTCGTAGCAAATCCGTAGCTACTTAGCTACGGATTAGCTACAGAAATCTAACGGAAAACATACTCCGTAGGTAATTAGAATTCGTAGGTATTCCGTAGCCATTCTGTAGTTAATTAGCTACGGAATAGCTACGGATTTTGCATCTGTAGCTATTCCGTTGCTATTCTGTAGCTAATTAGCTACGGAATAGCTACGAACGTGAGTCCGTAGCTATTCCGTAGTAGCTATTCCGTTACTAAACTAGGGCATCCCATTTTGTAGCTAATTGGTAGCGATTCCGTAGCTAATTAGCTACGGAAAATTTCCGTAGCTATTTTCCGTAGGAAAATGCCATGTTTTCTAGTAGTGTGTATATATATATATATATATATATATATATATATATATATATATATATATATATATATATATATATATATATATATATATATATATATATATATATATATATATATATAGTTAGTTAGTTAGTTGTGGGGAGTATATCTAGAAAACGGGGACAGTGAAACTTAGTAGCCGTAGCGTCTGTAATACAATAGTGTGGAGAAATGTTAAATCACCGTTGGAGATTTACAAGTCAATGGTAGTCTTAGTGGACCTAATACTATATTTGTATAGTATTACACAATCGTGTTAGCATGTTTTGTCGTAGTACCAATGTCGAAAACTGTTAAATGATAGTGATAGCCTGAGTAGCTGTAATGCTGCTAAGAAATATTGTTAATCAATAATGGTAGCATGTGTGGTCGTAATACCACTGGGGAATATTTTTAACCAATAGTGGTAGCCTAAGTGGCCATAATACTACGAGGGAATGTTATTGTGGTACGTATAATGGTAGTTTGAGTAACAATAAGTCCATTATTGAGAGTTGCTAGTCAAAATGATAGTTTAAGTAGCTTTAAACCTATCAGTTGGAGAACCAATGTGGTAATACTTAATATTAGTATATACTGAGTTGTTTGAAAGTCACTCTAGGTTTTTATTGAGTTGATTTGATTTGTTGATATAAAAAAAATGTGTAGGTATTGTACATCTTGTTAAGGTTACTCACTAAGCTCTTGTAGCTATCTTTCAAATAGTTATTGGTAAAGATAAAAATACAGTGGGGTGGCTTATAAGCATGATAAGTAGTGCTGTAGTGAAGACCAGCATGTAGCAATTTAGCGTTTTATATGATTCTTTTTTTTTTGTTTATATCTCAACTGAATGTTGTTCCAAGTAGTTGTATATTATAATTTTGTTGGAGGCTATATATAGAGGCTTGCTCTGTACTTCTCTTGACTTAGTTGTATGACACTTCACTTGATGAAATGTGCACATCATGCAACCAATCAGAAGAGTACTTGCATCTGTCGATGACTAAAATCTATATTACAAGTTATAGCCAATTTGGGTTTTATTTCCGATACAATGATCCAAAAAATTCGTAGCAAAGATGTCATGGAATCATTAAGGTTATTATGCGCACATAAAGATCCACAGGAGCTTGCTTATCGTGTGTGTCTTTTTTCTTTTTCTCATCAAGTCTTCATCAAATAAAGTGCATGGTCAAATAGGAAATGATGTTTCTCCGTGTAAAATTTTTTATACCATGTGAAAGAGACGAAATGACTATTTTAACCCTTCGTTTCATAAATGATACAAATGCAGGTGTTTATAATTTCATTGCATCACTAACAATTTGGATTTAAATCTAATCAAGCAAGTAACATGGCTGTGATATTTGATCTTTTGAACCTAAATAAATATCTAACATACTATAATCGTATTATCTCTCCTCAAGAAAGCTGGTAAGGTCTTTGCCCTTTAATTTGCTTTACTATATTTGTTTGAATTGGTTTTTTAACGATGTTGCTATTAGAAATATTATAATAACAATATTATTGTTAATATAATAACAATAATTAAATATTGATAATAATAATAACAATTTAAATAATAGTCCTAATAGTATAATAATAACAAATATAAAGATTAATTAATAATATTAAAAGTATTATTAGTATTATTAATATATTTCTCTTTATTTAAAGTATAAAAGTTGATTGGAGAAGGGTATGTGGTGAATATAGTGTTAACTATTCCACAGTTGACTCCACTAGAGTGAAGCTCAAGTAAAAAGGACCCGCCTACCACCCACAAACTTTTAGCACTTTAGGCATCAACAGCCGAAAGTTAGAAATTTCTATGTAAGTAAATATGGGGTCCAATAAAACTTTAATATTAAAATTATCTATTGAGAAAGTAAGATAAAAACGAACCGGGTAGGAAGCTGTCACAATTCATATATATATCACGGCTAATTTAAGGGTTAAGTCCCAATGAAATTTGTGATTACCATCTAAATCACCTCATAATACCCAAAGGGCATCTTCTCCCAATCAACTTCTTTACCTATATAACAATCCACTTCCAATTGTTTGCAACACTTGGTTTGAGTTTTATACTTACCATTTGCTTGACAAATAATGGAGGCCTTCATGGAGGAGTTTCAACATCTTAAGATCCAACTACAAGAGATAAACTTAGCCACCGCCAACTTTGATATGAACAACGTTATCGGAAAAGGTGGATTTGGGATGGTGTACGAAGGAGTAATTTCTCACTCCATGGGACAAAGCAAGGTTGCTTTCAAGCGTTTAAATCGTAGCAATGGTCAAGGAAACTGTGAGTTCTTGAAAGAGATCATGATGCTCTCCCGATACACACATGAAAATCTCATTTCTCTACTGGGATTTTGCGATGAAGATGATGAAAAGATCCTTGTGTACGAGCATGCATATAATGGAAGCCTTGATCGCCATTTGAGTAACGTTGCCATCACGTGGATGCAACGTCTCAAGATATGCCTTGGGGCTGCAATGGGATTATGCTACCTTCATGATCCCAAGGAAACACATCAAAGAGTTCTCCACCGAGATATAAAAAGTTCCAATATTTTGCTAGATGAGAATTGGAATGCAAAAGTCTCCGACATGGGGTTGTCCAAAATAGGACTTGCTAACCAACAACACACGGCTCTTGTCTCCAATGTTGTAGGTACCTTTGGGTATGTGGATCCAATGTATGCGGAGAACAGTATCCTAACGAAAGAGTCAGATGTATATTCTTTTGGCGTGGTCTTGTTTGAAGTATTGTGTGGGAGACTATGCTTTGAAATTAATGATGGTGATCATTTTCAGTGTTTAGTGCGGACGTGGAAACAAAGCTATAAACAAAAGAAATTGGATGAGATTATCTTTCAAGATTTGAAGCAATACATAGATCCACGTTCACTAGAAATATTTTCAGCCATTGCGTATCAATGTTTGCAGAAATATCGTGAAGCACGACCAACGATGTCTCACATTGTGGAATATCTTGGGATTGCGCTTCGGCTTCAGGAGATTTTTGAAAAGGTAGGACAACCAATGAACTTTGAAGAGATGATTAAGATTGAGGTATCCAAAGGGAAATTAAAGATGCTTCTCTCTCGTCAAGGAATGCTCATTAACGGGGACAAACTGGTATTTATCTATCTTTAAACCGTTGCTTTAGGATTTTTTTTATTAATTTTGTTATTGGTAAATTGTGTTTTATGAAATGTTAAGCATTTATAGCTTAATTTCAGGAAATTTCATATGATTAAAACTAAATGATGCTTGCAAAGCGAAGCTTTCAACTACAATACATTTGAAACAACCAAAAACACTAGAATCCACCCATCAAAGTTACAAATAGACACACACATACGTAAGCACCATTAGCCGATCCATAAAAAGACTCACCGCGCAACCAACACCGCTTTCTTTTCTATAGACCTGACAATTCGTATATTCGTATCATGAAAACGTGTCAACCACAAATTTGACGCGATATAATTACACGATGATAAATAAGCTTTATCTCGATTTTTAAGATGTAATTGTGTCATGTATTCGTGTCGTGTCTCTCACATATTCATGTCTGAAATTGCCAGGTCTACTTTTCTATTTCTTTTGAGATTAATGTAGTCTTTTACTTGTATGTTTTGAAGGGAATAGGTGTGGCCAAATCCATTGTAGAAACGCCAACAAGTGTACCACAAAAGGAACAACGTTTAAAGTGTCCCAGATGCGAATCAACAAACACAAAGTTTTGCTATTTCAACAACTACAATCTTACTCAACCAAGATATTATTGCAAGACTTGTAGAAGGTATTGGACTCTTAATGGGTCTCTAAGGAATCTTCCCGTTGGCAGTGGTTCAAGAAAATCTAAGCGATCATTTCAAGACTTGTAGAAGGTATTACAAAGAATTGGCCAATTTTAGAAATTTTGTTATTTTTTCAATCCCAAACAAGGCCTAGTCCCTTTTTTAATTTTCGGAAACAAAATGTAGTTTCCTTTGTTTTGAAAAGCACATGTAACTTATATCACTTGATTTTATGGTGAATTCTTTAAGATATAATATTGAAGAGAAAATGTTTATTCAAGACAATTACATACAGTGTTGAATTAATTGCAAAAAAAAAAACCAACGTATTTTCATGTATCAGTTTACTTTAACATCTTGCTTTCATTTTTTATACATCATTAAAGAATTGTACCTCAAAAAATCTATCAAATTCTAAAACCACAACTAAAACATTGAAAATTGTTTTGTATATAGATGACAATGTTATAATCTGATAGATTTTTCAAAGTAAAATGTTGCAATAGAAAGAAACAAAAAATATGTTGATATTTCTTGCATTTAACCCACAAACACAATCGTTTTCAAATATTCCAAAAGCCAAAAAAAAGAGTCATAATCATTCATATGAAGAAACAACTAAAAAGACAACAAAAAATGAATTCAAAATGATACATTATCATTGTTCACCAAGAAACTAAACTGTTAAAAAGATAAATTCACGATTACAGTTACATTAAAAGAAACAATAATTTCCATTAAAAAAAACAATGGTAAAAAGACATTATTTATAAATCAAACACAGCTTTCTTTATGCAAACATGTAAAGACAGAACCCCATTATAACCCACAAACTCTGTAGGGGCAATTAAGTAATTCTTTACAGGTCCATGTTCACACCACTCTGCATATATCTCTGGAACAGATTGCAATGACAAAGATGTCTCCATGTTTTTCACAGTCAATTGATATAAAAAACTAGTCTTTAACAAACTCGGGCCCACACAATCAACATTCAAAACTCGCCCATGTTGTTTAGCTTCATGATTGATTATAAAGATGACACTTTCATGTTGTTCTTGAAGAAAGATGTGTTTTTTGTTAGTTTCTACATTAACAATGAAGGTGGTGTTGTAGGTGAAACGGGTGGTGGAGGCTGAATGTTGGATGCCAAAATGGAGGTTGAGATTCTTGGAAGAACCAATAAATGGACATGATGAAATAGGGCAATTACATTTGGTGTGAGGGCATGTTTGTTCATGATCATTCTTTTTGCTATATGGGATTGATTCTTTGCATCCATATGGAGTGTTTTTGCATGATATTTTAACGGATTCTAAGACTTTTTCTATAGCTCTACAACGATTGTAGCCAATTGGCATGCAGCAAGAAGGGCACTTTCTTTTCACTTTTGGGCAGCATGTAGAGCATGCTATATGGCCATTCTCACACTGCAAATATCGGTATATCACCATGAATGAACTTCTATAGATAATTTGATAGTATGTGAGTGAAATCTAGAACTGAAAAGTGGTCGTTCTTTCTTTCAAGGTAATCTTAATGTATCAGTTAGGATTACCTTCTGATTTAACCCTAATTTTACGCAATTCAAATGAGATGTATGGACATATATAAAGAAAGATGGAATGAAATACCTGGAAGACAGGGGAAGACAATGGATCAAGGCAAATCGGGCAATCCAATACATCTGGATCAGTAAGCACCACCTGTAACGCTCCAATTGCGTTGTTAAACACCGGCGGAGGAGTACTAGAGCTTTTCATCGAAGCGGTGGTGTTTGATAACCCTATGTGTGACGAAAGCACCGGCAACGCCCCATTTTGCCCTTCTGATAGTGGCTGCACCTCTGTAAAACCATCTTCATCGCTTCCAACGTCGTCGTCTTCTTCATCGTCATCCTCCTCTTCCACGGCCTCCGCTTCCACCTCGTCGTCCTCATCGTCTTCCTCTTCTTCAGATCCTTGTGAATCCGATTCTACCTCTTCCATTACATTAAACTCCCCAAATTCTTCGTCTTCCTCCGCCACATACGGCGGTGGCGGTGGCGATGGGACAGATCTCTGAGACCGGGGTTGCGATTGAGATGCGGGTTCGGCGAATCTTGGCCGTTTATTGGCAAGTGAAGTATCGTCGTCGTCTTCGCCGATTGAAAATCTCGCCATCGTAATCGCACTTTCAACTCTCCTGGAAGTGGTTTGATTCGTGGAGGCCGTCGATGCTTGGGATCCATCGTTTATCTGATTTTTCACACGCAACCGCATTATTTTACACTTCCGATTTAACCCTAATTTTACCCAATTCAATTGAATTTTTATATGAAAATTTATAGGTTTTTAAATCAGAAAAATTACAATAAAAACGGACATATTTTCATTTCATTTTTATAAGTCGTTATTAAATTGTTAAATTCTTATAATTGGTTATTTAACTAATTTCAACAATTCAATTAAAAGATTATTTTATATTTACATAGTTGTTTGTGTATAGAGAGGTACATGTTGTTGTTATACGTAATATGTTTACTTGAAAACAAATTAGTCTTCAAAATAAATGAACTTACCGTCCTTGAAGTGTCGCAGATTTCGACCTTAATACCGTATGGATAAAGAACCGAGTAAATCATGTTAGATATGAACTTTTTGAAATTGTTGCTAGCTCAAAGCTCGAATCGTTCGTTGTCTAAACTGTGTAGATTTACGTCTTTTTTATATCGATTTATGATATAATGGTAATATTGAAATAAAAATATTACTCGTATTATAACGGCTACACGACTAACGGATACATTTAAAATTTAAAATGAATATATCTAGGTGTGAAATATTTTTTATATAGATTTATGATACAATGGTAATATTGAAATTAAGAGTGTTACTCTTTCTGCAACGGCTATATGACTAACGGATATATTTAAATATTTAAATGATACTATCTATATGTAAAATGTCTTTTTAATACAGATTTAAGATATAACGGTAATATTAAAATAAGAGTGTTATTTTTATTATAACGATTATATGACTAACAAAAACATTTGTGGTCGATCCTATGATCATACTCCTATCTTACCCAAAAACGACTTAAGTATTATCGGGATCAATTTACCTAGGTGGGATTGTAAGATCGTGATTTTAACAACTTTGATATAATTTGTTTCACAAAAGTTTTTTTTTTCTAAGGATGATTTTTTTGTTTTAGATTATTATTTTTATTTTGAAGAAAATATTCTAAGATAATATCATATGTCAAATAGATAAATACAATAAGATAATATTAAAATAAGATAATATTAAGATAATAATTTGTATCAGAATACATTACATTAAAATTAGAGTAATTTGTATCACATAAAATAGATTACATTAAAATTAGAGTAATTTGTATCACATAGAATACATTACATTAATAAAACAAAATTTTAATTAAATTAGAAAAAAGTACAAAAATATTTATTAAAAAACCCTTAAACTTGTATCATATTTATGAAAAAAAAACATTATATTGTCAATATGTAAATAATTGAAAAAAAATTGGGCCTAAATGCTAAAAAAAAATACTATAGTTTAACTGAAAATGAAGTCAAAATACAAAAACTTTTACAAAGATTTCCCTTTTAATAACTTTTAATCTGGAAAGAAATGTTAATATTTCAATAAAATGAAGCATAATGAATAATAACTCATAATCTAAAATAAATGATTAAACATTTTAATAAACCAGTCTAAATAATCAACGAACTAATGAATAGTATACACAAAACATCACCTTCAATTTTTGTCGAAAACATAACAAAAGACCCAATAAGTTACAATATGATAATTATATAAACAAACAACAATAATAATGTATACGCATCTATCCTAACCCGAGTCAATCTCATAAGTCAAAACTCTCCAAATATTGTTGGCATCTGAAATCGGACTCATGAGTTGTGAGCATAAATCACGAACATTCGGCTTTTGTCCATTCTACAAACTAGACAATGTGAGTCATCACTCAATGTCACACAAGGGGTAGATAACCACACTTGTGCATTTGAGATCTTTCTAGAATCCTTTTCATGGCCCTCTAGTTAGGTTAGTGGCAGATCCAGAACAAAAGTTCATTGGTAGCACTACCTTTTATTGCGTAATATAAATGAGTTCGGTTTTCAGGTTCAGGTTAAACAGGTTTGGACTTTTTGTATTTTTATGGCTTTAAACCAAGAATATCCATTGTAATAGAATAACTTCAATTAGTTAGTATTTATATTGCAATTTAGAGTGACTTCCTGTCGTGATTTCTCTGGGTCCTCCCGCTCTTTCAATTGCAATGGCATATTTTGACCCAACCCAAATAATTCACAATTGGGCTTCTTGCATTTTGGATTTTGGAGTTTAAACGTTGTGATAAGGGATACCACATAGTTCTCTAAATGCAGCAACTTAAACTAAAATGGAAAAAAAAAAATTACACTTATTGGGATATTTTGAAGGGTAGCAAGGCTCCAACATAGCTCTGCCAGTGACTTAGGTATTCTACAAATAAAGACCATCTAGTTAGGTATTGTTTAAATAAGGGACTTCGAAAGTCATGTGGCCACTCAAGTCAACCTAATACTAATATGAATACACATAAAAGGATGCTCAAAACCAATTCAAAATGGTGTATATATTTTCTAAAAAACAATAAATATCTCAAAAAGAGTTTCATGAATGCAAAAAAAGTACATTGGTACACACATAGAAAGAAGACTATATTATATGATATCAAAACAAAAGAAACCATATATGAAATCAATCCAAAAGTAGCCATATATGAGATCAAATCAAAATCAATCTTGTAAGAAATCAAACCAACACAACAACAAAGTAGTATAATAACTTGTACTCCCGGTAAACCCACCTTAGTAGTTTGATAACTTTCTCTTTACCTTTTTACGAAACTTCTATGTCCTTACCTATTGATTATAACAACTTGTTGCAAAAATAACCAAAATACCATACAGTGAATTTTTATCATTTTGACTTCATTTTCCAACTCTAACCCTTTTTCTTAACCTCATGCAAAATTTTTAAAACAATCAAAGTTCGTTTGCTATTTTAAACATAATTAAAAGGTAAAATATATAAAGAGCCACATAGCTCGGTCAGGCCATGTTTGCCTTGGTTTTGGGACCGAGTGGGTTTTACCTATATTAACTCAGAATTTTGAAAAATTTCTTATTTACCTCTTGTACTTTGACCTCTTAACCCAAACCTTTTACAATATAGCCAATGATTTTAAATGGTTGATATGAGTCTTAAAAATATGTGTTATCACTTATCTAATTTCACTCAATGTCCAAGGTTTCAATGCCTCAATAGTTTAATGGATCAATCATGAAGGCATCAAATACCCTTACAAAGTCATAAGCTTTAATACTCTACTAGTTTCCTTTCCATTACGACTAATTGACTCTAATGATTATTTCAACTACATTTAAAGTGTTTAGATTCCTACATTTTCAATACTGGAATCACACATTCCACTTCCAATATCTACTTCTTTATATCACTTTAAATCTTACTTGATCACTTTGGATCCATGTAAATCATATTTTACAGCTTCATTATCATATTTTTAGTAACATAACATGATTACAATTTCATTTCTTGATTATTTGACATTTCTTCATTAAACTACATATATGATCTTTCAGTTTCACTTATAAGCCCTAGAATCTCATAGATCAATCAAAACGAGTTCCAACTTTGGAATTTAAACATCACTTCACCAATCTATACATAAACTAAGTTTTATTAGTTAAATCAAAGCTTAGATCCATAATTCATTGAAACTAGGGTTAATGTTCAACTTAACTCCAAACTTAAATTCACCAAAAGGGATGGTGCTTTAGTATGTGAAAACTAACACATAAACTTGAGAAATTCATATTTGCCAAATTTATCTAACCCTAACTCAAATTTAGTGAAGAATTATGGAAAATATGTACATCAACATGGTATAAATTTTGAAAAATTGCTTTAATCTTCCTCAAACACCTTAACTTCAACTTCAATTATAGAAACTAACTTGGATGGACATTTTCTATTCTTTAACCCTCAAGCCCTTTTTTGATTAAAAAATTAGAGAATCAAGAGTAATGCAAGTCTTATATCTAAAGTTTGACTCCTATTTTCCCACTATAGTTTTAATTATTAGAGATTTGCCACCTTTTTCAACCTTTTTTTCATTAATCACATTTAAGTTTTACAATAAACTCTTCGATATAAGATTCTTATCATTTTATTCTTTAGATGGATTGAAAACTAACTTGTGACAACCTGATATTTTGAGATAATAAAGTGTAACGCCTATCAAATTTAGGCCAAAATATAACTTTCCTAAAATCTTTTATGGGTTAAATGAAGTGGTAGGAATCGTATCAAGGTTTTCGTACATATAAAGAACACTAAAAACTGAGTTATAACGAAGAAGTTATGACCAATCTAAGATTCGCGGCAAAAACCGGCACAGCTGATAGACGTAAAACGCAAAGTTTCAATACAATAATTTTTAATCTTATATATCTAAACAAAATCCGTAGAATATGTTAAACCGTGATCATGCAT